TCTCATAGTAATTCAATAGTCCATACGAGAAAAAACAATGTGTGTGTCACCTAAAGATAAAATCCTACACTCCTTAAAACGTGTATTCCCTTTCCGCCAAAAAACTAGTTCCCACTTTTCTCGTGATTTACATCGTTCTCATAAAATCCAGACGCCAACGTGTTGTGAGAATGAATATTGCAGACGTGTGAAAAATCATAGTTAAATAAGACTTGGTGTGTTACACTTTTACATAAAACGCAGCATTCAAAATATCTCTATAACATACAGTAAAGTTGTAAACACTTTAGCTGAAATCCCTCTTATCAATGTCATAACACATCGAACTCTGTAAGTAAAATCTCTCTATATCATACCCTAACATACCAAATACAGTTTGTCAACTCAATTTATAACATACCCTAACACATCATAACGTGAGGTAACATCATTCTATATAATGCCCTAGCAGGTTAAATCTATCTTTACCACAACCTAACCCATCAAAATTTGTTTGGTAAAATATCGGTATATCAAAACCTAACCCCATCTCCCCAAAGTATGTTGGTAATTTATTTCTAGATCATACCCTAGCACATCAAACCATGTAGTTAAAATATCTTTATATCATTGCTGTTATGTTAACCCTGTAGTTACAATATCTTTATATGCTAGGCTAGGTCCTACGGAAAAAAAACGTAATCACGTCACTCCACTACTCCATTTCCTTCATTGGCTACCTATACAGGCACGCATCGACTACAAGTTGTCTGTTCTCTGTCACAACTTTTCCTTGGAGTCCTGCCCTTCCTATCTAAACGAACTACTTTCTGTCTTTTCCACCTTCGACAGATTCGCTCCCCAGCAGACACGCGTATTCTGTCCATTCACAAGACACACACTAAAACCTGTGGTGAACGATCTTTCTCTTTCTGCGCCCCCCCCCCCCCCAAACAATGTAATTCTTTGCCACTACACATACGCAATATACCAACCACCCAGACATTCAAAACTGCACTCAAAACACATCTCTTTAAACTTTACAACCATGACTGATTCCCCTCCTCTGACTGATAAATGATCTTGCTGGCTGCCGTCCATGGTTTGCCTTGTAAAAGTCCTGGGGTGCATGCTGTTTATTTCATAATTGTATTTTATTTAATGTCATGATTATGTCTCTTTTGATAAAAGTTTTATGTACAGCGCGGTGAGCCAAGCCCTAGGCTGGGGGTACAACGCTATAAAAGGCCACTAATTATTATTATTATTGTCATACGCTAACACATCAAATCCTGTATAAAAAAACGCTCTAGACCATACCATAACTCATCAATATCTGTAGGTCAAATCCCTATAGACCTCAATTTAACACATTAAACCATCTAGGTAGAATCCCTGTAGTTCATACCTTAACACATAAAACACTGTGATGTAAAAAAAGACAATCTCTCTATTCCATATCCTGACAGATCAAGAAAACAACGAACAATTCAAGGTGAAGCTCTCGGGTTTCGGCACTGATATTAATGCATTGTTCCAAAAGGACGTCGCTGGTGGTGCAATGAGGAGAGATATCCACTTTGCTAATGTGGACAAACATTCCATTTTAAAAATGCAGGTTACAATTATCGAAGGTGTTCTCGACATTTGTGAGATTCAAGTATTTGGAGGTACTTTCAATCACTAAATCCCTACACATAAACAATTGCATGTATCAAGTATTGTGGACTTACCAAATGAAAGCATGGCGAATAAAGTCGCATTACTCCAGTAGTACTTGTATAATATATGTATATATTTCTTCGCTTTTGTATCAAATAAGACTTATATTTATATGTAAAAATATAACAATTGATTTGTTGATGTATGTTTATTTGAAGTTCCTTGGAGTTCCGTAGAGTGCAAAATCGTTTTTCTTTTTTTTTTCATATAAAACATAAAGGGGCTCATGTAATCAAGCTTTTCACAATTAATTTAATTCACATTTGTTTAAACGCGGCAGTTACCTCCCTAAACATAAACAATACTTTATATTTTAATGAAATATACAATAGTTGTTAATATTAACGGAAATTTAAATATTTTCTTACCGGGGACAGATTTGATTCTGGAACAACTACACTATTACTGATTTTAGTTGCACACAAATGTCTAACAAACAAAATATTGAGGACTTGACTTTCACTCAAATGACTAAAAACTACAATAATTACAATATAATATATATATATAAGACGTGTAAACGTCACTTTCCCCTTGCCATTAACTCTGTCTGACCCCAAATTAGGCTGCGATCATATTGGGCTTGGCGTATTCTCTTTGACTTTGACCTTTGTTTACGATCCTTGCCAACTAAAAATAATAAATATGTTCTATTTTGTGGAAAGTTCCGGAGTGAACTAGACAGGTAAAAATGTGTAAGGAGGTTCGAGATCTTTTAGTGGGTTAGAATATACAAGCGGGATTCATTTTTTGGACGGGGGAGAGACATCTTGACTCTATTTGTGTGTAGTCATCAGTGTTTATTCGTATTCATCAGTGTACCTTATTTTTGGCATATAATAACTTAACTACTTTCTAATTTTTTTAATTACAAAAAGGCTGCATTTTTTTTAATGCATCATCCAAGCAGACTGCCTCCCACCAATGTATGGTACAGACTGCGGTGCTCAATGTCCCGTGTCCTGTCTAGGACAGAAATGCACACCAGACGGGACATGCATGAAGTGCAAAAAAGGAATGAAGGGGAAATTTTGCACTGAAGGTTAGGAAAATTAAATATGAGAAATTATTTAGATCTATAAATTGTAGACATTGGAAATGATTTAAGCTCAATGATTTATGCAATGCCATCGACAATATAAAAATAATTAGAAACATTATAGAGAGACAGAATAATGAGTTCAAGACAAAGATGATTATGTTTTTTTAAATACTATTCATGCTGGTAATGTCAGCAACACGACAGTATAGAAGATACATTAATTATTTTTTTTTGTGGGAAGGGGGAGGGGGTGGGGGGTGTTTATGATATTCTGGTTCTGCTGCAAAGATAATTTTTACTTGAGACAATGTGGTTTAAAAATTATGTTTATTAAAGAAAGGTACTGCAACTGTAACAAAGATGACAATCTTCATCATATGTAGTTATATGTATATATATATAAAAGAATGCGTTATGCTGACATAACCCTAAAGAAACGAAGCGTAATAAATACGTTAAGGTTCTTAAAAACAATTACAGGGATTTTCTATTATTTTTCGGAAATGTAAAAAAAAAACTAAATGTGCAAAAAACATTATATATCCGTTTTTATTATAGTAAATGTTTATGTTTTATTATTATAAATTGCAAATTGCTTTAAAATAAAAACAATAAATACATTTTTAAAGAATTTTATCTGATTTTGAAAGTAATGAAAACAAATCCCCTAAAATGTGATCTAAGAATAACATCGTAATCATATTTATCGTGAAACCCAAACATTTGTTTTTTTTCATATAGATTTTTTTTTTTTTTTGGCGTTGTTAATATTGCGAAATAAAATTAAAGTTGATTTTTCTAAATAAACACGCAAATGACGTCATAGCGCGAATTATCTATTTGAGGCAAAAGCTCTAAGTTATTTGATTTAATAGCCACGCGTTACAAAACTGACAAAACGTATTGTCCATTCTAAAATAAATACATATAATCGATTGCTTTTTTTGACATTTTTATTTTTGAAAAACGGAAATGGGCAAAGAATTTTTTCCAAAAAACAAAAAAAGAATATATATATATATATATATTTCTTTACTTTCCGAAAGTAAAGAAGGTGTAAATTGTAGTGAGATTAATACAATTCCTGTAAAAAATACTTACGATGCTGTTACAGGCTTAAATAAATCTATGAGGTCCTGATAATGATATAATAATTTAGTTTTTAACGATTCTCTCATAATATTGTAGAAATCAGCGGCAAACATTTTATTAACTTTTTTTAAAAATTAAGTTATATGTATATTAATTTCCATTAATTTAGTTTTTAAAAATATTTTATAGAGCTTTTGTTGTAAAAATTATATTAATTTTTTTACAATTTTTAAATGAAAAAATAGTTATTGGCAAAAATTTGGTAGGGTAGGACCACAATTGACAATTTAAAACACATTATATCTCAAGTATTTTTCTATTGTCAATAATGATGTAATAGGTATTTTTTTTTTTTTTTAGATTAGGTAATTTAAGATCATGTTTCTAGAAAAAAATTGTTTAGGAAAGCAGAAATTTGTAGCTTAGGCTTTTAACATATAGCATAAAAAAAATAAAAGTTTTATGATTAAACATAAAAGTCACGGCATACATATTTATGTTTAAAAAAAGTTAAGATGATTTTTCACAATAGCTGGTGAATGTAATCGCAAAGAGACTGCCATTACTATCTGGATAACATATCGGGGGATATGTTCAAGTAATGAATATATATATATACGTCTATATTTGTTTATGTTTACATAATTTTGACTAATATGTATACGTAAGCGGGGTTAAATAAGGTAAATTCTACTATTTTGAGTATATGATAGTTGATAGGTATGCGTTTTGTTAAATAATGTGTTTTATAGATAATAGAAAATGAGGTAACTCTTTATATATATATAATACTAATTCATTAGAATATTTTTATACCTTTTATTTTATGACAAACTAGCTAAAAATTGAATGACAATTGTTAATGATTTTCTTTCAAACCAATTTGATATTATTACATAATATTTCGTAAGCAATTAATTATTGTCTTAAAATATGCTGATTAATTGAAATACATTAAGCTCACGTCAAAATTATACAGATAAAAAAAACTGTGGGAGATATGTGTGTATATATAATATGTGATATATATATATATATATATATATATATATATATATATATAAGAGAGGACTAAGCAGACATAGTCATAGTGCAAGTGAATGCTAGTGAAACAATTAATACAATTTATATACGTAGGTTTATCGTTCATATTTGTTTACTAGGGTCACCTTGCCCAACAGGATTCACTGGGGAAAAGTGTGAGATGATTTGTCACTGTCAGAACGAGGCTTGTGATGTTAACGGCCACTGCACAGACGGATCATCGTGCACCACTGGGTGGTTTGGTGCGGCTTGTCAATATCGTAAGTTGAATACAACCGGTCGAGTATGGGTGATTACTAATAATAGCTTTGTACCTTAAAATGTGACCTATTGTGCTCGGCGTCTTTCAAGAGAAGTATGAGGCACCTCACGTCTGTCAAGAGAAGTATTAGGCAACTCACGTCTTTCAAGAGAAGTATTAGGCAACTCACGTCTTTTCAGCCGCTTAATTGGATACGTTTCAATGGTAAATTAGTAACTTAATGTTTAGACTGTATTTAAAGTATATGTTCAATTGTTAGTAGTCGTTGAAAAAACTTTGTGATTCTTTGTTGTGTATTATTCACTATGATATAACGAGCTAGGCTACCCAAGTGTTAAATTAAATGGACAGCCTACTAGACATATTTATATATTTGTTAATAATTGTAAAGCGCTTAGAGCTTTATGATAAGCGCTATACAAAAATGCCTAAATAAATAAATAAATAAATATTAAATTTACATACTTGATGAAACAGATCGTATATTTAATCCGGTGAATAACGACCCATGAACAACGTGTAGAAGATTCTGATGAACGAAATCAATAAATTATCTGAAGCTTGACGGCATCCATAGACGCATTAGGTATTGCTTAGCCAAAACAAGTCTCCTATCAACCAATGCTGTGTTATCAGCACACGTCTCTTTGTCTGCAGACAACTACATTCCATGTAAATATGGCTACAGTTTAGAAGCAGGTATAAATAATTCGATACGCACAGCTTGAGATAAAATCGTCGACTTCAAATCTTTTAGGCGATGTTGCAAGCTTTGCCCAGGGCCTCAACGAACTACTCACAGACAACGAAGACTCCACATGCTACAAGTCTGATGATAAAAGTATTGAGGCTAAGCTGAGTAGACCATTGCACTTCTCCTGGATTCGGCTCGTCTTCCCAAAACTCGGTAACATAATATGTTACTTGTAAATCTTTATAATGAAAATTGATGTAATTGAAACGAATTCTTTTTAGACTACCACAAGAATGCTGACATATCATTTATTTATGTGTTTTTAGCAGAAAAATTTTGTCAGTAAGGTTGTCTTGCAATTATTAGAAACTTTGAAATATGTATCCCAAAGATTCCTTTAACTTTGTCTAATAGTATAGATATAATTTTTTTTTTTTTAAATTTTCGTTTCAAAATAATAAAATAAACTGTCTTACTATACGACTAAGGGTGAAAAAGGGACAGTTGAATACGAGCGTCACACAACTGTGGCGTCCAAATGAGCTTTGTGGGTATATACTGGATAAAACTAATGGGTTCAGAGTTGACTTGGCGTAAAGATAAATGTTTTCCCCTGTCACCAAACACTTTAGCTACTCCTTTGCCAGGGACATGGAATGAGATCGAATCGGATTCTTGGTCCAGGTGTCACTTTTTATAATTATGCGGAGTTGATGTGTTTCGGGATCACTTCAGACATCGTATAGTGAAAGTTATTTCGAAAGTGATTTCTGTAGAGTCGCCACCGATCAATTTTTGACTTTTTTTTCAAAATCAAGACTTTCATATTCGAGTATTCAAATTTTATTTTGATTGGAGGTGGGACATTTTTTATATCCGGATTGGAATGACGGTGCTCAATCTGATACATACTGAGATATCCCTCCCTACCTGTGGCGCGACCCAAAGTCTAATTATTAGTTAACCCTTAGATTCAATCCCCTACTGCCACAACGATCATTGTGAGGGTATCGGAGTGCAGAAAACAAGGGTGATGAAGGCTATCGGACAATTTAAAATGCATACTTAAATTCGGTCTTTCTCTCAGAAAATTTAATGGGAGGATTAGCGATTTTGAGGTAAGAAGTGCCAAAGCTTTCCATAATAATGCTCTAGTATGTCTATAACTCCGACACAATCTAACATTTAAAAAAAAATTTTTAGTTGTGGCGTCCTTGAGGGTGTCTTTTTGCCCAATGTCATTCTATTCCCTTCAATCTTAATATAACATTGCAAATTGTGTAGCCATTCAAAACGCATGAATGCAAATTAGAACATAACGGAATTTAGTTTTGGAACAGTTTAAGTGTAGTTGTAGAGCGGCGGAAGAGATGCTAGTTAAAATGTAGCTGTCATTTAACTAGTGGAAGAACTAGGTTTCCCTGCAATCACCATGAATGCAGAGAAAATAGGATATTTTAGAGCTTTTAAATTATATAATTTAAAAGCAAGGTAGGAGGAAAACTCAGAAAAGTGTCAGGGGGCCTTAAAATGTCAAACGACGGCCCTGCTATTTTTACTCAATACGTATGGCGCTGTAATTATATTTAATGTATATTTGGGGCAAATGTTAAAAATAAATGAATAAGATAGTAGAAAAAAATATGTTAAACTTGTGTTATTAGACAGGACAACAAAATTTTGACATTTCGCCTTAGAGCCTTCTTTAGCAAACAGGACAAATATAAGTAAGACAAGTAACAGAACACAGTACATGTCTAACTTCTATTTGTCTGGTTTGCTGAAAGAGGCTCTAGGCTGAAAATTCCAAATCTTATTGTCCTGTCTAATGAATTCTTGCTTAACATACACTGTTCTAATAATTCATTTAAACAACATAAATGCAGTCAAGCAATTGTTATTTTAAATAATTAATTAATTGTGTAAAATTTACACAATTAATTTTTTTTTAAACTGGGGGAAACGTGTTAATATATAATATTAACAAGTTTCCCCCAGTTTAAAAAAAAAATATTACAAAAAAAGTTATACATAAAAATAAAGATAGTTGTATTTTTTTCAGAACGAGTCATTTTTTTTTATAAATCTGACATAAAGTCATAATTATAAAAAGAAGACATGATATGTTTACAAATAATATGATGTATTTAATGATGTGTAACTTATCGGAAGAAATTCGTTTATTCATAATAAGCATACTTTTTAATTGACTGTACTGATTATTTGGCATTTCAAAGTTCTTTTATTTTCAACAGATACTTTTTTTTCTTAGAAACTGCCTCTTTGATATTTGTTCACACATATCTTACCAAATGCAAAGAATTTACTCTTAAACAGAAAATACGGGTAGAAGAATTATTTGTTTAAAAATTTTAACCAAATAAAAAGGATTCGTCATGATAATAAAAATGTTGTTTCACATTAATTTTATGTAATTATTTCTTTCAACTGGATTCTCATCACATTTTTTTTTGAAAGAAGAGCGCGTGTAAATAGGTGGAACAAGATTATTTATAATACTTCTATAAAAGTGAAATTCAGTTTGGCATTAATAAATGTAGGTTAAGTACAATATTTTTTTAAAGATTCTGTTATTCTTTATGTAGACATTGTTATAAAAGTATCAAAGAAAATGTATATCGATTTTTTTTTAAAGTTTCCCTTTTAACTAGCTCATCATACATTCAGTTAAATATATTTAAAATATGTTAATAATTTATTATATTTATTTTAAAGTGTGATGCAGCCAAGCAATCTACATATATAAAAATAAATGTATGTATGTATCTTTGTATGTCTCGTATGCTCTACTAAACCATTCATGCGATTGCGACAAAACGGGTGAGTGGTTGTCCACATAACCGGGCATATAACTGAGTCATAACAACCTTCATAAACTGTTTTGTTTTCGGCCGTTGGCGCTTAATTCTTTTTTTTATACGAGCTTTGTAAAAAATAATTTCCGTATGCGTAGCTATAAATACATTATAATTTTATTAAACTTTAGAGAGATGCTGTGCGCACGCCCGCAAAGATTTAAACAAATAAATATTACAACCATTTTAAAATATTCCGATTTTATTTAGGGGCCCTATGTTTGTTTTCTTCCTAATTAAGTTATACACATAAATTTCAAACTGAGCTAATGCATGGATAGATATAATTTAAAAAAAAAATACAAACAGTGACATTAAATTGAGTGAGCTACATAATAAGTAGGTTCCTGAAGTAATACAACAATTCTATAATATTTAGTTTGTGGCTGGGGAGCCTAAATTCCTTTTCAACTCTTCTACAACCTACATAATATGTGTATGCATTTATTTCTATACCATTCATCCTATTGTGATACAACTTGGTGAATTGATATGCGCACTACCTCAATTTTTTTCTAATTAAGAAAAACATTTTACAGTATTCCGTTTGGGACAGTGGCCCTAATTTCATTTTTTTTTCTTATAAGAGCTTTATAACTATAATTTCAAACAGAGATATTGCCTAGCGGGTTTCAATTTAATAAAATGCGTCGAGCGACATTTAAATTTGTATGTTACATAGTGAGTAGGTTCTGAATTAGTACCACCATTGTTCCATTTTCCTTTTTTGGGTTTGGCGGCCCTAAAAACATTTTTTATTTGCTATATTGGTGCTATGAAAATATAATTTCCGTCTGTGCCCATTGACCACTGCTCCGAATACGACAAGAAGTTGGCGAGTCGTCGTGCATATGCCCGCACAGGTTTCTTGTTTCGTCGCGCCATTTTACAATGTTCTGTTTGGGGTCGGGCGCCCTATATTCCATTTTTTTCTCATTTGATCTACACAAATATAATTTTAAACAGAGCTATTGCATGGTCGGACGGAGCTGAATTGGCTGGGATATTTTTCTAATTTAGTACACCCATTTAACAATATTTGTTTCAGGGCCAGGGGCCCTACATTGCATTCTTTTCTTATTCGAACTATAAAAATAAGGTTTCATACAGAGCTATTTCATGGGAGGGTAGAATTGAATCAAATACAAAAATCGGCATTTCAGTTGCTGTGTTACGTAATAGGTAGGTTTCTGAACTAATGGAAACAATTTACAATATTTCGTTTGGGCCGGGGGCCTTCAATTCGTTTTGTTTGATTAAATGAGCTTCATCAATAAAATTTTAACATAGCTCAACACAACCACGTTTTTAAAAATCCCAGCAGTCGGCAAATTTGTACTGAAGCAGAGAAAACACGGGTTTTTTGCATTTTTAGTGTGGAGAGTATTCTTGTTATTTTTATAAATAAGCTTGAATTGTGTGACGTATTTTTGAATCGGATATGACATTGAAAACATGTTGTTGTTTTTAATTGAAAGTATTTCTTTAAAAGAGTGTTATAATTCCCGAGTTGCTCTGTGCTATGTAAAGACGTTGACATGAATCGATGGTTTCTTTAGTAAATAAATTACACACTAGACAAAGTAGATATTGAACTATGTTAATATCGAGATTTTAATGCTGAAATTTGTGATTTATAAATTAATGTGAAGCTATACAACTGGAACTCTACTGCCAAAAATAAACTTACCTATTGTGGGAGGTTTTATATGTAAAAGGATTGGAGATCCTAACATGAGAAAGTTATGAACGAAAGGAATATGGTAAATTAAGTGAATCAAATACAAACAGGGATATTTCATTTTTTGTAAGACCTAACAAGTTGGGTTAGTTGTGAAATTACCATTGCCACTCGACATCTAAAAACAGATACCATTGCTTTTGTAACATTCGTCACTAAGCAATACTTCGCTGTCAAATCAATGATGACCACCCAAACGAAAAGTTTTTGGGTTTTAAACCCCTCAAGCACGAATGAAAAAGTCATCACAAGCTTTGGAAACAGTCGAACTACGAGAAGCAAGAGTGGAAACCGCTCGAGTACGCAATGCTCAAACCCGTTCATCTGAAACAGTCGAGCAATGGAAAGCAAGCCTGAGAACCGTCCGAGAACGCAAGGCTTAAAACGTTCGTCTAAAACAGTCCAGCAACGGGAAGCAAGACCCAAAAAAACACGACTACGCAATGATGAAACTCGTTTGTCTGAAACAGTAGAGCAGTGAGAAGCACTACTGGATATAGATAGAATACGCACTGCTCGATCCAGATAACAACTTCACGCTGAATTAAAAAGTAGTGCACACCATAACGAAGTTAATTAT